ATATATATACAAATATATATATACAAATATATATATACAAATATATATATATATAAATATATAAATATAAATATATAAATATAAATATATAAATATATATAAATATATATAAATATATATAAATATATATAAATATATATAAATATATATAAATATATATAAATATATATAAATATATATAAATATATATAAATATATATAAATATATATAAATATATATAAATATATATAAATATATATAAATATATATAAATATATATAAATATATATAAATATATATAAATATATATAAATATATATAAATATATATAAATATATATAAATATAAATATATATATATATATATATATATATATATATATATAAATATATATATATATATATAAATATATATATATATATAAATATATATATATATATAAATATATATATATATATATATATATAAATATATATATATATATAAATATATATATATATATAAATATATATATATATATAAATATATAAATATATATATATATATATATATATATATATATATATATATATATATATATATATATATATATATATATATATATATATATATATATATATGTATATGTTTATCAGAAGAACCAAGATTTTCTGAAACCCAGTACTTCTAGTGTAAAATGAGCTTTGGTTCTTCTCTTCCTGGAGCTCTTCTGCCAAGACCAAGAAGTCAATGTCATCACTTGCCATCCAACCCAACCCTCTGCTGAGTCTCACCCTCAGCAGCACAGCCTACATGTTCGGGTGGCAGGGGGAGGCGCAACTAGGCATCGACCCTGACAGGTAGAGTGAGGGAATGGGGATGGAGGATTTTGCAGGAAGGATGGAGTTTTTCAACACGATTATTTAGTTGGACAGGCTTCCTTTTGGTTCAGTTTGAGGAATAACAAGAGTTTGAGTGGGGACAGAGATTATGGGAAAGGGGTAGTAATTAAAATGAGGGATCAGAAAGGGGAAGTCTAAACGCGTCCCCCTTCTCTTCCCCTTGTTCAGCCTCTTGGTGACCACCCCGAAAAGAACTGTCAGGGAGCAGGACGGTTCCTAGGCACCTTCCCTGGCTACTTCACTTGGACACCAAACTCTGGAGAAGAAAAAATATGCAAATCCTCTCTCTCCCTCAATATTTCCTCATTTCTTTCTATTTTTGCAGACATGGACAACAGTAATAAATGATCAGAAAAAAATATATATATACCACCTGACTGTGAGAACTGGACACTCTCAACTACACAGAACTTATCCAGTTATTAAATGGACAATGGACCGTTTGGAATCTCCTTTAATTGGACACTAAAAAGACTGCCACGATTTGCCTCTTCCAGACATCCATTTCACTTGCCATTTTTGCACATACTTTCACAGCTTCCAAAAGGACACTGTGACTGCTAACACAACCAATTCTTGGCTTTTGGGACATGAAAATGCAATAACCATTTTCTTCTCTCAAAACAAAAAAAAGTTCATCCAATATAAGGCCAAAAGACAAATTATCATTGTCATGACTTTTTTAAATAAACAAAATGAAAAAAAAAAGTCTCTGCCATTTACAATGAGTTTTTTGTTTCAACTCAAAAATATGAGTGTATATATATATTACAAAGCTTCATCATTGTTATTTTTATAAGTAACTAGAGCATTCTCCCAAGATGGAGTTCTTTTCACCTCTTTATTTCTTAATTCCATTTAACAATGTAAATATATAATTTCTAAGATTTCTAATGTAACAAATGCATTTGATTCCACTTCTTATTATTTTAAAGCCTCTTGGTATCTATGGAGGTCCATACCCAATGCTACATGAATACATCAAATAGTTATTGTTACCACATTTGGTGATGCTGCTTCCTCCTCTTCAAAACCCATAAATATGACAACACTATTAACTAGTTGGCATCATAGCAGGGACAGCTAGCTGCAATGTGCAGAACGTATTTTTGGTATTTTGACATAAATGTTATTTTTTATATCCATTTTTCCTTTCCTTCACACCAATAACCCCACTTTCTGAATATTAAAAACCCCTACAATATTTGCATATAAATTAAAGCAATAATAATTACAGTAACAATAATAATAAGCTAAAGAAAAGAGAAAAAACTGTACAGGAATAGTGGAAGCATGGAGAAGCCTGGTCGGGCAGCAGTCGTCAACAATGGGACGCCTCACGTGGTGTACAGGACCTCTGACAACGAGGCCCACACTTTCTACAACCATTATATTACATTATGGACAATATATTATCATGTTCCTCTCATTCATTATCATGGGGGGAGGGGGGAGTGCCTCCTTCACAAAGGCACAGTTTCTAGTCACATTTTCTTTTCTTGTTTTTTTTTTGTTTTTTGTTTTTTGTTTTTTGTTTTTTTGTCATTTTTTGTGAATGCCACCAAGATCGGCCACAGTGCAGCAGGGAGGCCCTTAAAAGCAGTCCCTCACTGCACTGCAGGAAACATGTTTTAAAGGC